GGTGCAGAACTCAAATTCTAGTAAAAAGAACAGACTTAATGGTCTGACTAAGACTGGAGGGACCCTGGAAGACATGGCCCCCAGACTCTCTGTTAGCCCAAAACTAAAACCATTCCTGAGGCCAACTCTTCAGACAAAGATTAGACTGGACTATGGGACATAAAATGATACTTGTGAAGCGTGTGCTTCTTAGCTCAAGTAGATACATGACACTAAATGGGCAGCTTCTGTCCAGAGGTGAGATGAGAAGGCAAAGAGGGTCAGGAGCTGGTTGAATGGACATGGGAAATCCGTGGTGGAAAGGAGGAGTGTGCTGTCACAGTATACGGAGAACAACTAGGGTCACATAAAGATGTATGTATAAATTTTTGTATGAGAGACTAACTTGAATTGTGAACTTTCACTTAAAGCACAACAATAAAAAAAAGAAAAGAAAAAGGATATTTTGTTTAAGTGTGATGAAGGAAAAATGCATAGATTTGTTTTTCCATTTCCTTGATATTCCACTGCTTATCTTTTCATTTTTTAGCCTTTTTAGCCACTTTGTATTAGATATATATTTGATATGCAGCATAGAGTTAAGTCTTGCTGTGTAAGTCCCAAGTGATACATTTTTTATTTTAATTAGCCATTTGGGCTTATTCACATCTATTTATATGATTCATAAATTTGGCCTCAAAATATCTGAATTTTGGCCTATCTTGCCTGTGTTTGGGGCCCTGGTGGTGTAGTGGTTAAGAGCTACAGCTGCTAAGCAAAAGATAGGCAGTTCAAATCCACCAGCTGCTCCTCTGAAACACTATGGGGCAGTTCTACTCCGTCCTGTAGGGTCACTATGAGTTGGAATGGACTTGACAGCAATGTTTCTTTTTTTTTCTTTTTTTTGATGCCTGTATTTTGTGGTTGCCTCTCTCTGTGTCTAATCTGCTCTTTTTGACTCTCAAAGGTTATTAGATTTAGGACAGCCCCCACACAGATATGATTCATTAACATGACAAAGAAAACAGTATTTGCAAATGGGAGTACGTCCATAGGTATAAAGGTTAGGATTTCAACACACATTTTTTGGGGGTACAATTTATTCCATAACAGGAAGAGTTACAGTTATCTATACTTTTTATGTATACTAAAGACAAATAAAAAAAACAGAATTTAAAAGTCCCTCTTTGAGATACCATCTTTGTTATATATTAAATTTCCAGATACACTTTCGTGTATTTCTCGATTTTCTATTTATTTCGCTTCTCTGCCTATGCATGTGCCTCTAGCACATTTTTAAATTATAGAGGTCATATATAATGATTCAATATCCAGTAAAGCCATTCCACCCAATTGTGAGCTTTCATTTTTAGTGCTTTCCTAGCTATTTTTACGTTCTATTTTTCCCTATAAGTTTTAGTATCAAATGGTTTTGCATAAGAAAAAAGTAATGTTTATTTTACTGGAATTTTTTAAGTTTATAAATTAACATTCAATCATCTTATCTAAGAACAAGGAATATCTTTTCAATTGTATAAGTAAAATTGTCTGCTTTTCAGAGGTATTTTATTGTTTCTCCTACAAAATTTATACATGGGATTCTTTAGTTTATTCCAAGTATTATATCTTCTTTGGTTTTCAATTTAAAGAGGTTGTCTCCACCAGTAATTATATCTCCAACAGGGTTCTTTTACTATATGAATGATGAACGAATTCTATATATTAATTTTATATCTTCTTAATGTACTATTTTATTGTTTGATTTAGTTTTCAGTGTTTCCCTAGGTCATGCTGGTTTTTATATCATCTGCAAATAGATCCAACTTAAATTTTTGTTTCCAATTCTTATTGCCCCCAGTTTAATTATCTTGTTTAATACATTGGCTAATGTCCCAAAACAATATTAAATTATATTGGAGAACATGGGCAACCTTACTTTTTTTTTTTTTTAATTATAGTGAAATACCTTTAGTAAGATGCTAGTTTGAGGACTAAAGTATGTACACATATATGTTATCATGTTAAGGAATTGTTCACTATTATACTCTGAATTATTTTGTTAGGAATGTGTGTTGAATTTGTCGAACAGTTTTATAGCATTTATAACTATATGCATATATATTTTTTTCTCTTTAGATCTGTTAATGTGGTATGTTATATGAATGTCTTTCCTCATAGAGATTCAACCTTGTAGTCTTAGAATAAATCCCACTTGGTAATGGTTTATTTTATCTTTAATTTGTGTTTGATTTTGTTCACTAATATTGAATCTAATACCATAAGTGATATTGGGCTGTATTTTTTTAAATTAAAATGTACTGTATCAACAACAATCTGTCAGTTTTTCCTACTGTTGTGTTGTTATGATGCTAGAAACTATGCCACCAACATTTCAAATACCAGCAGGGTCACCCATGGTGGACAGGTTTTATTGGTGCCTCTAGACTAAGACTACGAAGAAAGGCCTGGTGATCTTCCAAAAATTAGCCAATAAAAACCCTATGGATCACAGAATATCATCCCAGACTTGAAGTTGCTTACTCTGGATGTGTAATCAAGAGGGACCAATTGCTGGAGAAGAACATCATGTTTGGTAAAGCAGAGGGCCAGTAAAGGCAAAGTAAGCACTCAATAAGATGGACTAACACAATGGCTGCAACAATGGACTCAAGCATACCAACCATCATGAAGATGGTGCAGAAAAGGGCAACATATTGTTCTGGGGTGCCCATGAGTTGGCACCAACTTGATGGCAAATAGCAACCACCACCACCATAGGGCGGACCTTGTTAAAGGGTACCTATAAACTCACTGTATTATTTCTTAAAATTATATGTGAATATGAAATTATCTCAAATAAGAACTTATATTTAAAAAAAAAAAAAACTCCAGTTGAGTCTAATACTCTTGTTGTTGGCCTGTGACTGACTCGATTTGGACTTTAGTGACCCCAAATAAGCTTCTAGTATTGAAAAATATTAAGAGATTAAGTATGTGTCTAATTACAGTTGCCAACACTCAGTTTCATTTTCGCCTTTGATTCTCTTGTCCTTTCCTACACACTTGCTTGGAAAGCTTTCACATATCTTCTCCATCTTAGAATCTATAATCACTCTTATTACCTAGTCTCCTCCCATGCTTTTGGGTTCATCAGATTAGATTATTCCACACCTCCTGCTGAGGAAAGATCTATTGAGGATTCTTTCTGAGGCATATCATAAGCTACTTTACAGGCTCCAGGAAGAACAAAGAATATCTCTGTGTCTTATCTGGGTCATCTATCTTACCCCCAACAAGCTCCTCACTAACAGATAAATAAAGGAGACTTCTCAGCTGGTGGAGGTGGCTGAGGAGGAAAGGTAAATAAGAGAACCAGTGCCTCAGATCTGCCCACCAGACTCTGTGTCTCTTTGTGTGAGGTAGGTCAAATGGGGAATCTAGGAAGGTATCCCAGGTGAGTAGCATTCCTGTGGGGACTGTCTGCCCTGAAATAACAGTTTCTATTTTCTGAGAAAAAAGGCTGAGATGCAAATGTGCATGTTTCCTTAAACGAAGCCAGGCTCCTTGTGGGCTGACCCCAAAATTGGGAGAATTTGCAACTTCTTATTTTGTCTGGTGTTTCTCTCTCATCTATGGGGGCCACATGTTCACATATTTTGTCATGTTGAATTGGTAGGATTTGGGGAAGAAAAGAAGAGAATTCTGTTTATTAGAAATCTAGGGGACTAGATTACAAGACAAATCGATCTTGGAAGAAGACCAGTCAGAATGCCCCTTAGAAGGGAGGGTGGCGAGACTTCATCTCGCTTGCTTTGCTCATGATATAAGGAGGGATCAAGCCCTAGAGAAGAAATTCATGCTTGATAAAGTAGAGGGTCAGCAAAAGAGAGGAAAACCCTCAAAAAGATGGATTAATAAGGGGACTGCAACAATGGGCACAAACATAGCAATGATTTTGAGGATGGCACAGGACAGGCAACATTTTCCTTCTGCTGTACATGGGGTGGCTATGAGTGGCAAATTTGATGGCACCTAACAACAACAACAAGGAGGATAGAGCAAGTCTTTGCCAGTCAGGAATTTTCATTTGGAAATGTTATATATATATATATTTTTCCCTGTGCCATATGTTATTCTGAAGGGTTTTTTCCACAGACCTGACAAAATGCCTTTCTGCTCATCATGGATCAAAGCTCTCTGCATCATTGTACTGGCATTTCCTCCTTATTCTGGTGAGTAAAATATCTAGTCCCAGGTGAAACAGTTCACATATCCTAGAAAATGCAGGAAAGCTTCTAGGAATGGAGGGGCTTATTTTATGGGGTTAGTAATCCCTAAACTGATAAAATGAAGGGAGCATGTTACAGGTGCGTTTTTAAAATTGCATCAGTGGAATTCTTTTTCTCATTTCTTACATTGGAGTGGTGGACACAGAGTGGTGGGTTGGTACAGGCAGTAGATCTTAGCTCTACGTTCACCTACAACGAAAGAACTTTACATAAATTCTTTTTTGCCCTCTTTGGAAGTCAGATTCCATGGTTGTTAAATGCTCAGTGTGGGGAGGAATGATCTCTTCCCGATCTGGTATTTCTGGATAATCTGCTTTGTTTGTCATGTCTAAATTCCTAAAGTTAAGGTTAAGGTTTTGTTTAAGGACAGAACTCACTGATAATTCTGAGAACAAAGTGATTATTCTTAAAGGTGAAGGTGGTCCGTGAATTTCAAAATTAGGTAGCTATGTGACATTGGATTAACCCTAACCAAATTCATTGCTGTCAAGGTGATTCCAGTGCATGGCTACCCCATTTGCTACAGAGTAGGTGTTCTTGGTTGTAATCTTTACAGAGGCAGACTGCCAGGCTTTTATCTGTGGCATCACTGATTGGGTTTGAAACGCCAACCTTAGGTTAGCAGTTGAGTGCAAACCATTTGTGCCACCCACCCTGTGAGATGGACGTAGTCACATAATTAGAGCAGAGTTTTGATTAACTCAGTACTAGTTAATATATATTAACTGACAATGCAAGTTACTGTTTCTCTGACTAGGTTGTCTCATTCATAAAAATGAAATAAAACAAAACTAACTTCAAGGAACAGTATTAGGGATTATTAAAAAAAATAAAAATTATTTTTTACAGACTGTGATTAATTTGAGAATGAAACAATGTTTTTAGATTTGGAGTTATTTTGTGATTTCATTGCTACTGCCTCAGAGGCTTACCTCATGACTTACAGGGTCTTGAGTAAACAGCTGACATTGGCTTATGCTAATAAGTGATATGGATACATCCTACCAGAGCTTATGCTTTTTTTTAATTCTTATTTTTAACTTTTACATATGTGAATTGCTTGCAGAAAGTTTCTTTCGACGTTCATTTCGCCGGGCTCCAGTAAGTTAATACTGATTCATTTAGAAGCTGAAAAAGTAAAACTTTTAAATTTTGTATGTTGTAAATTTAGCAGCAAATATCCACTTAGAGGTTGATAAAATAATTATAATTTTCATATTTTCACATAGTGGTGCATGATATAGAATTTTTAAAAAAGAGAAAGAACTACAGTTTTAAACATATGAAGCAATATTGGTCCCAAAGTGTTTTAAAAGCAGATGATTGAAGAATTCACACGGTGTTGCTTATTTATATAAATTTCTAACACTACCAACACTAAAAAATTACATGTATCTATATTTGGAGTCCTGGTGGTGCTGTGGTTAAGAGCTTGGCTGCTAACCAAAAAAGGTCCACAATTCAAATCCACCAGCTGCTCCCTAGAAACCCTATGGGGCAGTTCTACTCTATCCTATAGAGTCATTATGAGTCAGAATCAACTCGACGGCAATTGTTTTTTTTTTTGTTTTATATTTATGTCTATATATGTTTACACAAAAATAAAGATACATACACACACATATATATGTATACATGTCTATTCACCAGCTTATTCAGTGGAGTCAATTCCATATCATGGTGACCCCATGTGTTACAGAGTAGAACTGAGTTCCATAGGGTTTTCTTAGCCGTACTCTTTATAGAAACAGATCAGCAGCCTTTCTTCTGTGGGTTCAACCTGCCAACCTTTGGTGAGTAGTCAAGCATAAACTGTTTGCACCACCCAGACACCGTATACATATTTATATCTATATCTACGTCTATGTCTATATCTATATACGTACTGAGATTATTAGAAAGACAACAGAATAATAAATAAATAATTGATTACATGATTTTTTTCTGGTGTGATGTGACCTTAGGAGGAGAAGTGGGTGGTGGTGGTTAAATTATAAAAAACACAGTCAGTCTGTTCTATGGCCTTTTTAAAAAAGTAATAACTGGCTTTCAAAAACACATCAATAAAATTTCGTGTTTTAAATTGGTTATTGGTAGCTAGATGTCCACATTTTAACCTACATATAGAATATATTTATCTTGTTTTGATGTATGGCATTTTGTGTTAAGACTGAGAAATATTTCATTCAAAGGTTCATTCTAATATATTTTATGTTTTCTCTCTACATGTAATAGCCAAACTGTGATCCATATGAAGATCAGCTACATTTTTGCACCAGACAAATGGATCCAATCTGTGCAACCAATCGTCAGACTTACAGCAACAAATGTGTTTTCTGCAGTGAAAAGATGTAAGAATATAATAATAAATATTTGCTCTTCCAAAGTAATGAAGAATCCATCACAAAATGATAGCAAAATACATACTGTTGATGACTTAGACAGCTACATACAGAAAATAACAGAACATCTCTGTAAATGAGGCAGTTCTCATTTCTCGAAGTAGTTTTTTGTATTTGTGCTATCAATATAACTATGCTAATATTCTGTAAATGTGTAAATAAATTAATTTAACTTAATTATAAATTACTAATGGTAGGCTAGTGACCAATATGGAGTAATGGTAAGGTTCAGATGCTGAGGGGATCTCTGTGATGGTCATGAGAATAATCCTCCTCATCTCCAGCTGCAGGGGGCAGAACTGAGCAAGGACCCTGACCGACTGCGGCACTGTGAAATCCATCACTATGGGCCCATTCATGTTAGGCAGACACTCCTGGGATGGTTGACTTTGTCTCATGACCTCCATGACAACCTTCTAAACCTTCCTTAGAGTGCATTCTAGGACACTTCCACCCCGTCTCCCTTCCTGCCTCCTTCACTCTGAAGGAGTTTGCAGTCTAAAGATTCAGCCACAAGTCTTCCTTCCTCTCTTTTTTCTCTCACAGATTTGTTTCCTCTCATTAACTCTTTACAAATTTAATCTCAAATTTGGCCCCTGATTCTGGACAAAAACCTCTAAATCTCTCCTTTTTATATCTGGGTGGTTTCCAAAACTGGCTCGGGTCTGATCATGTAGGAAGGGTCAAATGGCCCCACAGAGGTTGGAGGTGGGGGGCATGTGCAGGGCTAGGGAGCAGGTAGGTCCCAGCGGCTTAGAGAAGTAGAGCACAGCCTCCCCATTGTCTTTCAAGTTCCAATCTTCATTGAGAAGCATTTTGTGCACTTTCAGGGAGTTCAATACGTTCTTTTAGTAATCTATTTTCTCTTTTCTCTGCCTCGTTCTTTCTCTACAGGGAAAGTGGTCACGCATTTCAATTTGATTTTTACGGTAGATGCTGAATTTTGATGAAGCTGAATATCAGTATGCATTTTATTGTGATACCATTTTTGGTAATTTTATTAAAAAAATAGAGTCTTCTCAATGATGAGGTGAATCCTTCTATGAAACACATCATGGAATATGGGCCTTTCAATGTTCTTTCCAACTTTAAGATCCTGTGATTTCAAGGTTTTTGTACTCTATGTTCAATTTTTCAGTGACAGTTTGATAAACTAATATCCTAATTGTATGTTTAATGATATGAAATCTAGTGCAATTTAAAATCATAAATAGGTCACTCAATAAAATATTAACTAATGTTTATCTTTACTATATTGTCCGTAGTGGTAAGTGGAGAGAGACTCATGCATACTTTTGATATCTATAAATAAAGAAATATTTTTAAAGGTGAGCTAGTAACATTTTACTTGGGTACTTAACAAAAGTACAGATACTTGAGCTCGTGTATACCCTAAAGAATCAGAACCTCCAGGAAACGGAGATGGGAATTTTATTTCTAACAAAATTATATCATTAATCTCTCAAGGTTAATGTATTAATCATACATGTTAGGCAATGCTGACTTTAGTAAGTATTTGAAGGTGGTGTCTATACATTTTGCTCATAATTAAGAAAAAACTGAAAAATTCATAGAGGATACTACACTCAAGTCACTATAAGTAAGTTGGAATTGATTCAATGACAACAGGTTTGGTTTGGCCGGAATACACTCAAATATAAAAATTGCTTGCTTCAGGATGATAGAGTTAAAATATTTCTTCTTTCCACCTTTCTATTTTATCCATTTTAATAAAAAATGCATTTAGTATCTTAATTTAAAAAAATTAACATTGATAAAGCAACAAGACATCTCAAGGTATTTTGCTTCTAAAATAACCTATTTTTACCTAGCTGACATCTCCCAACAGTGACATTAGATACCAAAGTTTCTCTTCCAGTCTGCAGATTGACATATAGAGAAACCATTGGATTTCTTAAACTGCAGAAAATAATTGAAAAGTGTACTGGCAACTCTCTCAAGTCATACAGGATGCCTGGATGCACCACCATCCAACCCATAGTGCTTTGTCAAGCAATTTAGACTTGGACCATTTTGAATGGTCCTTCTTTTTTATAAACATCTTATTGTAGTTTGCACCCTGAACCCTCATGTACTAGGGTTAGTACACCAAACTCTATGAAGCAAGTAGTGTTTAAGTAGTTTTAGTTATTGCAAACTCTTCTCACCAGATATGACTATCAATTTCACTTGATTTGCTCATAACTAGTATACTTGCCAAAAACAATATTTTGCATTCATCCAAAATGTACTAATGAGTAAACTGTGCATATGACACCATTTTGAGTTCCCCCAAGGAGTTTACAATCTTAAAATAACCATGGGAAAGGATAGTGTGCTAAGTATTTTAAAGGAAATATTCATAGAAATCTCTGGAAAAAGCTTGGTAAAAGCTTAGTAAAATGAACATTGAAACAAAGTTGTTTCAAGGAGATAGCCAGCATAAATCATGGATATTAGCTGGCTACTAATCCCAGATTTCTGTGAGTACTGGATTGCATAAGACAAGTATCTAATGGCAAAGACCAAGGGGGAAAAATCATCCCACTTCCCTGTACTTAGCTTCTAACTCACATTTACACTTTTCCCTCCATCATCATCAAACTTCCTCTTGCCTTTATTTACTTTCAGAACACCTATACAAAGGCCATACACCTGCTTTAACAGATGCCTTGGGCAAACATCAATTCAAATGTATCTAGTGAAGAACACTCTTTCTCAGCTTGTACAGGATGGCAATTATCTGAATGTCTTAATGAGTGTTGTTTGTTCTATACCTTAACATTATATTTGTAAGCCCCACATCCTATTAAAAAACACATTCTATAACAGCATCATTTGGCTGCACATAGCATGCCACCATTTATGGTAAGGATTATACTTTGTTAGGTTAGTTCAGAAATGACTTCAATAGCGTGAGCCAGGGAAAAACATCCAAATAAATGTAAGACTCTGCTATTGTTCTGATGAACAATTTGCACTCAGTAATAAGAATCATCCAATCGACCAGTGGTGAATTACTACTTATCAAAAGACCCCCCTGCAAAAAAGAGAAAAAAAAAAAACTTCAACAACACTTGTAGCATAACCTTCATTTGGGGATTCAAACACTTTTAAATTGTGAGGAACCCTAACTTTGGGTTGTCAAATTCTCGTTAAGTTTTCAATAAAACTCAGCAATCCTATAGTTTATTAATCCCATTGTCACAGGCTAAAAAAAAAATGCTTTCTTATAGTAGGTATAGATAATATACTATCAGAACTGAGCATAGGAGGTGCAACTATTACAGAATATGACTGAACTTTTAAAATTATGTTTCAGGTTTATTGAAGCAGAGTTTGCACACAATAAAACTAAAGTTTTATAGGTGTACAGCTCTATAAATGTGGACAAACATATACTACTGTGTAAGCACCACCACAATCAAGATATAGACTATTTCCTTCAGACCCCCAAAGTCCCTTGTGCTGTTTTTTAGTCAATTCTTTCCCCTTTCCTTAACTACCAGGGACCTCTGATCTGATACCCGTCATGTTAGTATATTTTACCGACCACACGTCTGTCAGTTTGTTGTAATGTGGTGGCTTGCATGTTGCTGTGATATTAGAAGTGATACCACCAGTATTTCAAATACCAGCAGGGTGACCGTAGTGGACAGATTTCTGCAGAGTTTCCAGACTAAGACAGACTAGGAAGAAAGGTCTGGTGATTTACTTCTGAAAATTAGCCAATGTAAACTTATGAATCACAAGGTAACATTGTCCAATTCACTTGTTTTGGACATGTCATCAGGAGGGATCAATCACTGGAGGAGGGCGTCATGTTTTGTGAAGTAGAGGGCCTGTGTGGGTGAGGGAGACACGCAGTAAGATGGCTTAGCACAATAACTGTAACAGTGGACTCAAACATGCCAGCTATCATGAGGATGGCACAGGACTAAGCAACATTTTATTCTGTTGTGCATAGGGTCTCCAGGAGTTGGAATTGACTCAGGGGCATATACGAATCTATGTATCTATATCTGTCTATCTATCTGCTATATTTTATGAATTTTATGCCGAAATAAATCTAGACTCATAAGAAGATGCTGAAATTATACAGTGAGTTCTTTATAAGTCCTTCCTGATGTTTTCCAATGATATCATCTTACATAACCACTGTATGGTAGCAAAACCAGCAAACCGACAGAGCGCACTACTATTAACTAAACTAACTACCTTGTTTGAATGTCACCATATTTATTTACCTATGCCACATTTTAAATTTTAGAGGTTATATAGAATGTTTCAATATTTAGTAGAGTTAGCCTACCCAGGCTATAGCTTTGTTTTTATTTTTGGGTTTTTTTTTTTAGTATTTTCCTCTGTTTGTTTATTTTTCCCTGTAATCTTTACTATTGTTGTATTGATCCCAAGGAAAAAAAAATCTTGTATTAATGTCATTGAATTTTTTTATATTTATAAATTAATGTTGAGTAAACTAACATCTTAAAGATGTTCATTCATCTTACCCAAGAAAAGACATGATTTCAATTGTCCAAGTACACTTTTGTGTTTTCCAGAAGTATTTTTTTTCATATAACATTTACACACTGCTAATTGAATTTATTCCTAGAAAGATCTGATTTGTATTCTGCCAATGAATTTTGTCATTATAACTTTTAAAATGCTCTTATTTGCCTTTTTTCTATTTATCCACTTAGTGTTCATTTTGCTGGTGTTTCATGGTATCCATTCTGCCACCGATTCCTACACACAATTAATTCAGTATACTCTCCATTTTATTTTCCCTTCTCCTTTTGTTTATAAATTGAATATTTCTTAACTTTTAACATTACATTACATTTGTGTTATTTTTTACCCCTTTCTTCACCTGTGTTTCAGTATTAAATCAAAATTAAATCTATTAAATGTACACAAACAGCCATTTTACAAACTTTCCCCTATAATCTCGTTTGCAGAAAGTTCATCCAATAGTAAATTGCTCTATAAAGGATCGTCAGCACAGTATTTATTAAGTCAGTGTGCATTTGGGACTGATTTTTATTGCCTTAATTCTTGCAGAAGATCTTACCTGAAAAAATCCTTTGTTTACTCTTTTTCTCCTTGAGAGTCTTGAAAATCCCATTTCACTGTTGCTTTGTTATCTAAGTATCTTACTGGATGTTTGAATCTTCCTAGTTCGTTCATCTTCTTAGTTATTTGGTAGTCTTTTTGACTGGAGGTCCTGAGGATTTTCTTCATCTTCAATAACTAATTGCTGACTAGGTTGTTTTTCAGAATTGATTGCTTCATATTATTTTTTAAGACTAAACTGTTCTTTCTGATATGTAGATCTAGGTCATCTTTCAGTTCCATTATTTTATTTTGTTTTTTGGGGGAGGGGGATTATAATTTTAAATTCCATTTCTCTTTCCTCATTTGACTTTTCTTCTTTAGGAAATCAAATTACATGCACATTACATCTTCTTTTTTATGTTTATTTTTATTCTCTTTATCTCAGACTCTATTTTTTTTCTTCTCTACTTATTTATATTCACTTCCATTCATTAACTTTTTATTCAAATCTATTATTTACTGGGAACCTTGAAATTTAATATTTATTTTTCAAATATTTTTGCTTTATCTTCTATTACTTTCCTAAGTTCAAGTAAGTGTTGTTTCATACATTCCTGTTTTTAAATTTTTTTGAGTCAGATTGTGTTCTTAAAGTTTGATTTTGATTCAAAGAGTCTGTTTAATGTCCTGAATTGTTTGCTGAAGATTATTTCATTCATATTGTTTTGAGTTTTGAGTGTTACATTACAGTTTTCTTCTGCTTTATGGTTTTCTACTTTGTAGGGTAAGAGATTACAACTGCAGGTATTTGATTTTCAACTTGATTTTTTTTTTTGTTTTCATATAGAAATTTTGTGTTGATGAAGACCACATTTTCCTTTT